GAGAGAGACATAGGCAGAGATGGAGACAGAGACAGACAGAGACAGAAACGGAGAGGTAGAGGGGAGCGATAGAAAGAGAGAAAGAGAGACAGAGACAAATAGAGAGAGAAAGAGAGAGGGACAGAGACAAATAGAGAAAGAAAGAAAGAAAGAGACAAATAGAGAGAGAAAGAAAGAAAGAGAGACAGAGACAAATAGAGAGAGAGAAAGAAAGAAAGAGAGACAGAGACAAATAGAGAGAGAGAGAGAGAAAGAAAGAAAGGAAGAGACAAATAGAGAGACAGCGTCGTTTTATTTTCTTCTTTTTCTCTTTGTCTCTTTGTCTCCATCTCTATCTTTATCTCTAGGGGGGGAGACAGAAAGAAAAAGAAAAAGAAAAAGAAACAACAAAGAGAAACAGAAGCAGCAGCAGCAGCAACACTGCTGCAGCAGATACCTCAGCAGCAGCAACACAGAGAGAGAAGGCCACAGAGAACACACACGATACACACGTGCTGCTGCTGGTGCTGCTGCTTCGCCTGCTGCTGCTGCTGCTGCTGCTGCTGCTGCTGCTCCTGCTGCTGCTGCTGCTGCTGCTGCTGGAGACAGAGATGAACATACACCAGAACTCAACCTTTAAGGTGCGGCTCGCGGCCCAATGCCAAAAACAGAAAGCCATCAGTCACAAGCAGCAGCAGCAGCAGATGCTGCTGCTGCTGCTGCTGCTGCTGCTGCTGGTGACGCTGCAGCAGCAGCAGTAGCAGCTCGGGCTCTCACGCGGATCGCTGGAGCCGGGCAGCGGCGTGTGCTGCAGCAGCTGCTGCTGCAGCAGCTGCTGCTGCAGCAGTTTCGTGGTGCTGCTTTCGCTGCTGCTGCTGCTGCTGCTATTGCTGCTGCTGCTGCTGCTATTGCTGCTGCTGCTGCCTGGGCTGCTGTAGCTACTACAGCAGGGGTGGCCGCTGCAACTGCAGCAGCACCAGCAGCAGCAGCAGCAGCAGCTGCTGCTGCTGCTGCAGCAGCTTGTGCGGGGATGGCGTCGGCGGTCACCTCGGATAGAAAATGGTATAGCTGACAGTCCACGCGAGCTGCAGCAGCAACAGCAGCAGCAGCAGCAGCAGAAGCAGCAGCAGCAGCAGCAGCAGCAACAGCAAAGAGTCCAGCAGTGTCTGTAAGCAGCAGCAAGAGCAAAACTTTGAATGGAAGCAGACCAGCAGCAGCAGCAGCAGCAGCAGCAGCACGAGCAGCAACACCAGCAGCACGAGCAGCAGCAGCAACAGCAACACGAGCAACAGCAGCACGAGCAGCAACAGCACCCGGAGGAAGAGCAGCAGCAACGGCACCACCAGCAGCAGCAAGGACAGCAGCAGCAACAACAGCACCACCAGCAGCAGCAACAGCACTACCAGCAGCAGCAACAGCAGCAGCAGCAGCAACAGCACCACCAGCAGCAGCAACTGCAGCAGCAACAGCAGCAGCAGCAGCCACAGCACGACCAGCAGCAGCAACGGCAGCAGCAGCAGCAACAGCACCACCAGCACCAGCAGCAGCAGCAGCAGCAGCAGCAGCAGCAGCAGCAGCAGCAGCAGCAGGGTTTGTACCAAGAACATTCCTAGACCTGGGGGCAATCCCTCTGTGACGATATGTATATGAGAGAAGAGAAGCGGAATAGCTTTAGTTTTTTTTATCCACAAAAGAGAAATAANGTGACGATATGTATATGAGAGAAGAGAAGCGGAATAGCTTTAGTTTTTTTTATCCACAAAAGAGAAATAAAAAACTGAAAAAAAATAAAAAAGAAAATAAAAGGAAAACCAGATAGCTGCATGCACCCCAATATACACCCCAGCAGCAACCCCACCATTTGCTTCAACCAAAACAACACACTCTTACAGTCCATCTGAAACACAACACACACACACACAGTGTTGCTGCTCCTGCTGCTGCTGCTGCTGTTGATGCTGCTGATGCTGCTGCTGCTGCTGCTGATGCTGCTGATGCTGCTGATACTGGTGTTGCCTGCTTATGGTGCTGCTGATGCTGCTGCTGCTGTTGCTGCTGCTGCTTGTATTCATCCTCTTCCTCATGCGTCACATGCAGATGTTATTGCAAGGCAGCAGCGGCAGCAGCAGCAGCAGCAGCAGCAGCAGCAAGAACAAAACATTATGCTACTGTTGCTGCTGCTGTTTCTGTTGTTGCTGCTGCCGCAGGAGCAACCTCAAGAAGGCAAACTGCAGCAGCAGCAGGAACAGCAGCACTAAGAGAGAGACAGAGGGGCAGCAACAGAACAGCAGCAGCAGCAGCAGCAGCAACAGCAGCAGCAGCAGGAGAGATATTTGCTTACCTTATCCCACTCATACTGCTCTGCATTGAGGGCCCGCTTCAGCAGCGGAAGCTGCTGCTGCTGCTGCCGCTTTTCCACACCCGTCGGAGCAGCAGACTTCTTCATTTTTGCTGCTGCTGCTGTTGCTCTTGCTGCTGCTGCTGCTGCTGTTGCTGCTGCTGCTAACTTTGGGGTTGTTGCTGCTAATGCTCCTGTGTAAGTGGAGGACGTTCCTGCTGCAGCTCCTCTGAGTTCCGTCGGGCTGCAGTTACCTAGACAGACACACTGTTGCTGCTGCTGTTGCTGTTGCTGCTGCTGCTGCTGCTGCTGGTGCTGCTGCTGCTGTTGGTGTTGCTATGAAGGCGACACCGTGTTGCTGCTGCTGTTGCTGCAGTTGCTGCTGTTTTTGCTGTGTTTAGAAATACTTCCTGCTGTGTTAGAGTTTCAGCAGCATCTGCATCTGGTGCTGCTGCTGCTGCTGCTGCTGCTGCTGCTGCTGTTCGTCGTTGTGCTGTAGGCGAGCATGCGAGCAGTGATGGTGTCCTGCTGCTGCTGCTGCTGCTGCTGCTGCTGCTGTTGCTGCCAAATATGTTCTTCTTAAGAATCCTTTAGAAAAAGACAAAAGATAAACAAATAACACAGCTACCTATCTCCCCACTGCTGCTGCTGCTGCTGCTGCTGCCGGTGCTGCTGCTGCGCTGTCGGCAGCAGTCCCAAAGGCTGCTGCTGCTGCTCATAGTGCAGCAGCAGCAGCAGCAGCAGCAGCAGCTGCTGCTGCTGCTGCATCGATTCTCTCGATTGCGTGTTAGCGCATCCGTTTAGGTAGCTGCTGCTGCTGTAGACAATAACGGCAAATGCAGCAACAGCAGCAGCAGCAACACAGGAGTAGCCTCAACGACAGCAGCAACAGCAGCAACAGCAGCAACAGCAGCAGCAGCAGAAACAGCAACGATAACACCAGCGCCAGTAACAGCAGCAGCTGCTGCCGCAGCTGTGCCCACGGGTCCGTATATATAAGCTGCATAACACTTGAGCAGC